GAACTGTGAAGAGCATTTTTCATATTTTGATCCTGATTTTCCGACGTCCAGATTAACGGTAACCCGATTAGCGAAGGTTTACTGTATTGTGTGCAGGTACTGTGGAGAAGCAGGACAGGAGAGTCGGTTTACGTGGTTGAGATACAAAGGGAAGAACTCGTGGCTACGGAAAATCTGCAGCATGACCACTGCATTAACCTGCTCGATATTCTCTTATCAAAAACCTTCCTCGTGCCCCTCTCAGAATCTGAGTACAGTTTCCTACCGCACATAAAACTGTAAAATTAGTTTCCTGTAGATCCTCTGCATTTCATTTTGTAAAGAGACACAACCCGACTGGTTGTCTAGCGTGGTGTAGTGTAGTACAGTGTGCTATAGTGTAGTGTAGTGCAGTGTGGTGTAGTGCAGTGTAGTGTAGTGCAGTGTGGTGTGGTGTAGTGCGGTGTGGTGTAGTGCGGTGTGGTGTAGTGCAGTGTAGTGCAGTGTGGTGTAGTGTAGTGCAGTGTGGTGTAGTGTAGTGCAGTGCAGTGTGGTGTAGTGTAGTGCGGTGTGGTGTAGTGTAGTGCAGTGTGGTGTAGTGTAGTACATTGTGGTGTAGTGTAGTTCAGTGTAGTGTAGTGCAGTTTGGTGTAGTGTAGTGCAGTGCAGTGCAGTGTAGTATAGTGTAGTGCGGTGTAATGTAGTGCAGTACAGTGTAGTTTAGTATAGTGTAGTGCAGTGCAGTGTAGTGTAGTGCAGTGCTGGCAACAACTTTCGAGCACGTGTGCTGCGTTTAACAACTTATAAATGGTCAAGTCACTTCGAATTCACCAACGAACCGTTTCTCATCATTCGTATGTGCGTCTCGTAGTTTTCCGATTCACTTTCGCTTGTCACTTGCTTTCAAATTCCATCTCTATTTGGAGCATCGACTGCAACCAGTTCTGTTCCTACAGTCTTCAAGGAGGGCCACAGGAATACGGAATGAATAGTTAACAAATTTGAAGACACTGACATTATCAATATTATTGTCACATATATATATATATCGTGTCGCCCCGTCCATTTAGTGCCGAGATCTTCACGGCGCTTAATTAATCAATCACAGGGCAACTTCACCTTTCCCCTTTTTATTTACTTCCCACTATCAATTAATTTTTGTTTCTATATATACATATCCCATTTCGCTTTTTGCTCATCTCCTGTCCCTCCCCCTGCACCTTATATCTGCCCTCGGTATCTCTGTGACTTTCTACTGCCACCGTCTCCATTGCTCCGCCCACACCCCCGGTCTTTATCCTTCGATATATCAGCTTATTCTTCTACCCTGAAGATGGAGGTAATAATTTTCTCGAAAACTTCATGAAAGTACATCGTCTGGAAGATCCAAGCGTGAGAAATCCAAGAGTTCGTAACAGGCTGAATAAATATTGTGGCGTGCAGACCCGTTGTTAGGCAGCGACCGCGAGATAAGCAGTTATACAATAGCCGTTGCTAAATAACAGCTCTGCAAATTATGGTCATTTGTAGGTAATGGATGAGTAGTGATCACGTGGGCATCCCAACGGTCGCAAACGCAACACTGAATACATCAGCAGAGGAACGGTGTTTTCTGTGAGGTCCGTGGCGAGATGTGTGTGTGTGGAGGTGGGGTCGAATACCTCCACCGTGACCCTGCGAGTCGTAGGAGGCGATGAAAAGGGAAGTCTCAAATGTGAGACAGTAAAATATGGTCACAAGTACTAAGAGACTCGGACCCGAGAAAGACTGCGTTGGCAAGGGCCAGAAGCATATACGAAATACAGACGCGTCCTCTCTTCAGAGAGGGCTCTCCACAAAAAACAAGACCGTAACTGTTGAAGAGTAATGAATATCTGGTCATGAACAGCAGATGGGGCTCGACACAAAGACTTACTGACTGACCGTCAGTCGCAATGTGACTTGGACTTAGACACAGAGAGGATGTTACATGAGGACTATGACCGCAAGGGTTCAATTGCAAAAAAGAATCTCTGGTCGTGGGTCTCAAGGGGCTTAGCTCCGAGACTAACCGAGTGGCGGTAAACCGCCAGTCGTAAAGTAACTCTGACTTTGACAGTCAGTTAGTCGAGAGTTTCTGTAGCTGAGGCCGGATGCAGCTCGGGAACCCGGAGGAAGAGGAACGATGCATATTCAGCGAGATCAGCGCAGAAACACATGCAAAGTTACGGTAAACATGCCTGATTTAAGATAAAATTGAAATTGTTCGACAGTATTTTTTAAAAATTACCCAATATCATATTTCCTGATAGTCCGTCCAGAGGTTCTCGAGTTGATACATGCGGAAGGACAGACGTACAGACAGACAGACAGACAGACATGCTACGCACATACCGTTAGTAAGTTATAATAATGGAGTAGACACCTTTTTGAACTAACCTAACCTCGGCACTTACTGCTTGGGATATCATTATAGACTCACCAGCCTCGACCCCAATACAAAACCGCGCGCTGAACTCAGGATCGCCCTGAGAACGGAGAAACTGCCGATTCGCCATAGGCAAGCATATACTTCGTTGCAACACAGACCTAATTCCAATAAAAATTCCTGACGAAATTCTTGTGGGCTTCGGGCCAGCGCAAGCCACGTGCCCACCCCCCCTTCCCCACACAAACAGACGAAATTTCTGAAAACTTCGTCGCAATTAATAACACGAAACCCGGACACTGTTGAGACAAACTGTTATTGATGTGGTAACTCTTAGATTTTCTTGAACTGCAAAAGGTAAAGTTGTCCCTCTGCTTAGCTCATTAAGTACCATGCCATAAAGACGTATGGGGGAATGGAAATATAACTCCACAATTCTTGACCTCGGCACTAGATAGAAATGAGTGGTCAGTTCCATGCTCCGACCGTTTAACCTCCGGTTCCCAATGGATAGGAGGCTGTATGCGCCCCAGGGCCGGCCGGGGCGCTTTGGAGAAGAGAGTTTTTGCTGCCGGGAATCGAACCCCGGCCGTCCTGACCGCAGCCCATCGTTATGCCTACTGAGCTATCCAGGCTCCTATACGCAGGCATGAACAACGGATCAGCAGAAATTAATTTTCACTTAAAAAACTGCAGAACAATAAAATGTAAGGTAAGGTTATCCCTGTAACAGGCCATGGAGGCCCATAGGTTTGTGAGACGTTGAGGCTCCCACATTGTCTAAACAATCGGTTCACAGGTGGCGGTGAGTTTGTGCGCCTTACGCGTCGGCCGTCCTTTACCCCCAGGAAGATTCCTGGTGCTCATTTCTGTCAGAGGCTGAGTCAACCTCACGGCCATAGTGCCGCTGGAAGGATTAGGTCAACTGAAAAAAAATCCACCTCATCGGGAATCGAACCCGCGACCTTCCGGCTTGTAGCACAGTGCCTTAAGCAACTACGCTACCGCTAAATTCAATAACTAATGAAATGTTGACGTGTAACATTTTAATAATATAACGTGTTTCTCACTGTACAATTGCAATGGATAGGGGCATAGAAGTTCCCACCAGGAAGAGTCTCGGGTTAGCACGATCCGAAAGCGCTCAAAGCTCGTTTTAATGTTACAGACATGTGCTGAATAACTGAACGATTGTTTTGAAACCATTATGAGTTCATATACTGTGCCTTGCAAGCAGCAACTAGAAGCGTGAGCAGTCCTTCGTGGCGTTCTTATGGATGTGTAAGTGCCAACCGCCTGTTCAGTTTCCGCGTACATTTTCCGCGTACATTTTCCGCGAAGCCGCGGCGGCTGTTGCCTAAGACGCTCCTTGATCGTGACAACTGTGTCTAGTTCAGGTTCTAGCAATTTGACTTCTCTATTGAAAGTAATAACGGCAAGGTGAAGTTGTCCCTAAGTAAGCTACTAGTTGGAGGTGAGTGGTCGGCTTCACGCCCCAGCCACTTTACCCCGGTACCCATTGGATAGGAGGTTGAGTGGACCCAAGAGCCGGTCTGGACGGCGTGGAGAAGAGAAACTTTTGACCCTATCGGGACTCCGAGCCCTCGGTTGTCCAACCCGATTGAAAATAATTCTTGAAGTTAATCCCAACGGCCAGGCTGTCTAACGCTTTGATATCGGAATGGAATTCAGCGCGTAAGGTGGCTACATATGTAAGTATGTGTGTGTCCATCACGTCTCCATGGATTCCTACCGCTTTAGTACGTGCGGCGACGAATTTCAGAGCAAGGTGTTTGAATTAGGGTACTATAGTGTGCATACACCACTCATGTGGAACAGTTCTAATGTTCAAAATTTTAAAAGTTTCAAAAAGAAAGTTGTACGTCGGCCGCGCCATAGCTCAAGCGGTTAGTCGCTGGCTTCCCACCGCGGCGGCCCGAGTTCGATCCAGGATCTGGTCAAGTGGGATTTGTGGTGGACAAAGTGGCGCTGGGGCAGGTTTTCTCAGAGTACTTCGGTTTCTCCTGCCAATCTTCATTCCACCAATTGCTCCACAATCACCCTCACCTATCATCTGGGGCTGGTACAATAGGCCAGAAGTGGCCGCAGTGCAAGGGACTTAGTCCCACCCCACTAGCAATAAAAAAAAAGTACGTGAGACGGATAAGTAACATGAATAAATAACATATTCTAAATAAGGTCCAAAAGTTTATGACGATGGTACAGCAGTACAAATATTATGTTTTTGGACACTATCCATCGTCTTGTCTTTATCCAAAAACCGTCCTTTTTATTTTTGAAACTATTCAATATCCCAAAACAATATCTGTAAGATATTATAGTTTCCACTACAGGACTGTGTTATCCTATAATATTTTGGTGCAAAGATGCAGAGCGCAATCACGCTAGTTGATTTGTAATATTTTAACAAAAGTGCCACATGTTGAGTAATTTGACTGATTTATTCTGAAATATTTCACGTTAATTTGATTTATTAACAGCAATTTCCCGCCAAAATACCATTCTATGCACCCGCACATGCGCCTTTTGGCGGTATCTCTCGTGTATAGGAGTATCAAGGCAGCACATACACGCAGTTTTGTTTACCTTTCAGATGAGCCATTTGTTCAACATGTTCGTGAAGCAGGTGCAAGACTACTGTGGTTCTCTCAGCATGCCTGGTGAGTTTCTAAAGAGCACAGCTTCACGACTTCCTTATGGTCTCTTTCCTTCTTATGCAATTCCTTTTGCAGGTTAGGACTTCTGGCCTGTAAGGTAAAAGTAAATTTTTTCCTGTGCTTAACTAATTAAGTACTACGCCACGAAGGCGTATGGGGGAGTGGGTGTATAATCCACATTTTCTAGACCCCGGCACTAGCTGGAGGTGAGTGGTCACCTTCACTCCCCGGGGAAAGACCCCCACCCCCGATACCCATTGGTTGGGTGTACCTCAGCCGGTCGGGGAGAGGTGGAAAAGAGAAAATTCTTGAACCTACCGGGACTCGAACTCCGACCCCTCGGTCGTCCAGCCCGTTGCCAATCGCTATACCGGCCTATGGACATCTGGTCCGTTCCCATTCCAAATTAGCATCTAAAACTAGAAACCTTAAAGACAATTCCAGCCCCTTTGACAGAAATCAGCCCATCACGAGGCCTCTACCAGTACAGGGTTAAAAAACGCAGATATCTATGCTCCGAGGGTGTTTGGAACCAACAATCCCAGCGTTTGAACTGTCAAAACATTATGTGCCCTTGAATGCTCGGCCTCTGTGGTTGGCTTTGTGCGGATCAGTAAATTAGAAAATCATATGTGCCCAGAAACAGCCCGTGCCATTTGGTTGGTTTTGGATTTAATGTTGATGGTTCTTGTTTGATCAGCGGATATGTAGATGTCAGTACACATGCAGAGAACACACCAGCAGCAGAAAAACAACCATTTTGAGCCATAGCATTGCTTAGAAAATTCTGCCACATGTGATTATTCCCGGCCGCGTGTCGTGAAATCGGACTAGCCGCTCCCTTTTCGTTGCCTCCTTCTACTCGCTGGGCTATGGTGGGGGTATTCTAACCCGCCCCCACAAGCTTGAGATTATATCATCATTAAATATCTTTGAATAGATTATATTCGTAGAGAAATATATGAGATATTTTGATGTATTTTTTCAAACAAAAATAAAAGCATAGAGTCGTTCAAATTAAAATTTGAAAGAAACGTATGTATGAGGAAGAGTTTGTAAATAGGTTACACATGGATATAAAAATGGAAAACATGTAATATTCGAACCTGAAAAAAAAACATTATTTCTCGACAAATCCCCCACCAACATTGATACACTTGTCCCATCGCTTTACCAGTGTGTCGAAACCTGTAGCAAGTCTTTTGACTGTTGTTTCAGCCACTTCTGCACTTGATCGGGCATCATCTACGACTTTCAGACGTCCTTGGGAGAATTTATCGAGCTAGCTGTGAACCGCTTTACGCGACAAACACTTCCCATGATAAAGAGGAATTAGTTATTTATGAATATCCTTTGCATTGAGTCCTTCTGCCTATAGAATACGCACAACAGAATACAGCTCTTTGGTAGTACGCTCCTCAAGCACGGTCACCACTTTGACTACTGAAACCAGCCTCTGAACATGCGCATGCGCGTCTGCTACCTAGACTGTCATGAAGCTGGACTGTGCTGCTACCTAGTGATGTATTCATGCACCTATTGCATCCATTACAGCTGTTTCACTTCCATTTGTAACCTATTTACTGACTCTCCCTCGTATATTTATACTTGTAGGATGTATGGTTCTCACAGCCATTCTACATTTTTAAATATACTGATTGGTTGGTGTTCATTTTACAATCCTGTCGGTACCTCAGACCATATAGCAGCAAATGGGACGATGGACAATGAATAAAAAATTTGAAAACATTTGTAAATTAGTGATTGTGGCCTAATTGAGGTACCATCCTGACATTTGCCAGGACGAACTGAGGGAAACCACAGATAACTTCAGTCAGGATATTTGATGTCCTGGCCGAGACTTGAACCTAAGACCTCCAGAAGACAAGCATTGCTTTGCCGCCACACCGACCTGCTTGGTTTTTAAATAATCAGGTGACACTACATAAGCTAAGATTTCATAATATTCCAAAAACATCTATTGTGATTCAAAGGCATTGCCAGTATCTTGTATTTTCGAAATGTTTGTATCACTAATTGCGCTAAAGTGGTCAGGATAGAAGAACATTTTTTAAAGTAAGTTGTTAGTATTTGGTATATTTTCCTCATTTATCAATTTTTATATTTTCCTAGATATCTAGGGTAGGGAGGGGCAGCTACATGGCCAATTTATTTACTGCTCAACACTGTATTCAGGTTCATTCCATGAGGCAGGAAAGGAAACAATGTCAAGGCTCTTATGTGAAGTTCTGCAGTATACCATTCATCTCGCTTAGGTTCATATATCCTCTGAATTGGGTAATATGTTGAAGTAGTGAGAATGACATTCCATGAATATTTGGGTGTAAGCTCAATCAGCTGGGGAATACAGAAAATTTAAAACATATTTGAAATGGAACTCACCTATTAACACTAAAAGAGCTTTAAGTCCAGAATGCTGTGAGGGGTAGAGAGTATTAATGTATGGAAGGGGTTGCTTATCACCAGCTCTTTCTCTTGGGCAATAAACCTTAGCTTAAAAAAGTTATCTTGCATATGCTCAAACCCCAGGGAATAAATGTGCCTTTTCCTTTTTCCCTTTAAATTTAGGTAAAGTTGTTCCTGTGCTTAATTAATTAATCATATGACAAGAAGAGATATGAGACATACCTCTACATTCTTGACCTCAGCATTAGATGAAGGTGAGTTGGTCAGCTCCACGCTCAGGCCGCTTTACCCTCAGTACCAATTGAATAGGAGGCTGGGTGAGCCCCAGACTCGGTCTACACACTGTACAGCATAGGAGACTCCTGAAGGAAACAGAATTGAAAGAATAGAGAAATCTAAAATTACAGAACCAAAGATCTTTTGAATAATGTGAAAGTAGATATACTCCCTTCCTGCATGAAAATCTGCAAATGTCTATTGATTTTTGGCATTTACTACAATGTGTTAATAGCAATTATTTTATTATATTCGCCATCAACTCTGTTCCACTGTGAGGAGTCTTGTATTCCCATGCATTAAATTGAAATGACCGTTTCGATTTGGGAGCCACATCAAAATATTCTGTCATCAGTAATATTTGGAAGTCTTATATGCAGACCATATGGAAGCATTACGAAATTCCACCATATTTCTGTGTGTCATGGTACTTGGGATTTGTGGAATTTGACATATAATGGCAAAGAGTACAGATCCTCGCAATGTTCATAATGATTACAATGTATTTCCCCAGCAACCAAGGACATCAGCTCCATTCTAATGGCACGCATGATAATACGTTTTCACAAATTCCATTTTTCCATTACAGGGAGGTGAATTGTTACCCCCACACTTTAAAAACTGTTATTTTGGTGGAAAGGTTGGATCACAGCCATTCTAATTATGATGATTAAAGAAAGAAAGAATCAAGAAATTATAATACCTTTGCAAGGAACCAGTCACCAGGCATCCAGTTCAGATTGTATCTCCTAACACTTACTTATCATGACTTCGCATTCATTTTTATTGGTTATTAATAACTCGGCGGATGTCACAATACATCATGTTAAATGCATTATGTATTTACTTTCTGCAATACATTATGGTCTGGAGCCCACACATCCTTTTCCTCAGTTTGTTTTCATGAATATAGGTGAACAGAACACAAAGCTTATTGTAGTGCTTGGGTCTGAGAATTCGGGGACACATTTATTGATAACTGAAATGTGTAGTTTTCTTCCACTGTTGCAGATTGCAATAAGGTGTTGCTGGTTTATGGGCTCACAAATCTTGCAAAAATGGAGGAAGACAGTTTGAACAAGATGGATCCCTACCAGAGAGGCGCAACAGACATTAGTAAGTGTCACACACAATGGTTTGCAGCACCTTTTATTTGGAATCAGTCTTTTTAATCATAATGCCCACAGACCTCTGAGCTTACCCCACATCAGATTTTAGATCATAAAACAATTTCAAAAGGAAAGATGCTAGGAAACAGGAAAATAGTGTTCAAATGTATCTTGTCTTTGGTGCTGTAGATTTGGGTTCACTGAAGGCTAGGTCCAGTGGTAGGTTTTAATTTAGCAGTGTTTTACCTTCTGCTTTCCATTACCAAATATTAGCTGCCAACACTGATCAAGATGTTATTCTTGGAGACATACCTAGACTGTACCATTCAAGAAGGGTCAATTTGAACAATTTACTTCCATAAAAAAATTATCTTATAATCAGAGGAGCATGGTGAAAAGAGAATATCAATCATTGTGATCCAGTAGTATCAGTAAATATGTACTGTAAACTGTATAACCTCTAAAATATAATTTGAGGTGGGAAAGGAAGGGGAGGGGAACTTGAAAATGAACGAAAAATAAATATATCTTGTTACATGAACTCACAAATGTGCAATACACTTGACTTAAATATTGGTTCCTTGATTCCTCATTCAACAGATCTTCCTGTGGTTAAGGTCTGACAGTTAAAGCCCTTTACTACCAGTCCCAAATATTTCATGGCATAGGATTGTGTACTGGAAAACCCTCCTCTAAAAATAACTCCAGTTTCTATGCCAAGTAACATTTTCTGTTTGAAGAAATGCAACAACTAATGACAGTGATTTTTTATGTATTTCCTTGGTCATTTGAATACAAAAGAAGGAGAGCTTTTAATGATTGCACAGAATGTCACTTCATTCCATAAGTTTATCTGTATCTCTTTGTTTTTAGTCTGGGAATCTATGATGAAAGGCAGCTACAAGACGCCACCAGACACGAAGGAGCCCCTAGATTACAGCTATATTGCTGGAAATGGTAAAATACTAGACTTCTGAATCGGAGTCTCTAGTAAATTCTATATAGGGAAGCATTTGTATGATGCATTTCCTATTCAGAGTAACAAACGATAGAACCACGAGGTGGTAGACACTCAACTTCCTTTATAGAGAGGCAACAAAAAGGACACAAACAAAATTGGTTATAAAAATTTTAACAAAATCTTTTTTTAAATCACACTTGTAAACAGACTAATTGTAATAATTTATAAATATTTTAATGTATTCATGCACATCACTGTAGTTGTTAAAGGATCAGGTTTTATATTCATGGCATTGTGATGATATTGTATGTATGCATTGATATTGACCAGTCACATTGTAATAGTAATTTCTGTTCGTCTTGATATATCCTCCTCAAGATAGTCTCCAAGACAGAAACATGTCAAGGATGAAAGATTAAAAAGGAAAGAAAGAAAAAACATTTTATCAGTCACACTGGATGGAGCTGATTAACCTTTTGCATGCATTGTGTTTCCCACAAGGCAGGAACTGAATTTTTAAATATTATTTAAAGTATTAGTGTTTAATTATTTGGGTTCTAACAATGTTAAAGCAGCAAGAAACACTAGGCACACATGGAGTTGTGACTTATTGACAACTACATCGGTCATGGAATATCCAACCACCTCCCTCCCTCAGGTCCAGTGGATTCTGCTTTGAGAATTTCAAATGATTTGGTATGCTTGCAGGTGCAAACCCCAGTAGTGGAGGGAACACATTGGGATCCCAAGAGGAAGCGTCAACTAACGTGCAGCAATTCTTGACTGCTGTTCCCAATGTGCCCAGCAAATATGTCATTGGCCCAATGATAGTCAGAGTCTTACCTGATGGAAGACCTGTGCCAGGTAAACTAAATCCATTAACTTATTTATATCAATACCATGTTTTGTGCTTTAGAATTTAAACTGTTTATACTTGTTTTGATAGGAGATAAATTAATATCAGAATGTAAAACTGCATAATGAAGAGCTTCACAATTTATACCCTTCACCTATTATTATTGAAATCTACAATGATACGCATGAGGTAAACAAGAAATGAATACAAGATTTTGGATATCCAACCTCACTTGGAAGACTAAGGTAGAGAAGGGAAGGTGATATTAAAGTGAAACTTAACAAAAATAAATTATTACAATTTGAGCTAGAATGAGCTAGACCAAGGCAAAGACTGACACAGGGCATTTGTGAGACTGGTGACATCAATGATTATGAACCTTTAGGTTTCATAAGATCAAAGAATTATTTTATCAGCTGCATAAATATAAACTGTTAAAGGGGAACTAATATACAAATATTATGTTTCCAGACATTATCTTTGTTTTTATTTAAAACACTGTCTGGCTTTTACTTGAAAACACGTTTCAGAGACCGGATTCTGTCTCCATCTTCAGGTAAAACCTACTCAGTTGGGCCCAATTGATAGAGCTAGTCCCTATCTCCAGATATCTGCACCAACACCAAGGACAGCACAAACCATCTGCAAGAGCTAAGACAAAAATTAAAATGTTAAAAACTCCACATGTATTAGGCCTAGCACGAGAGAACTATCAGCACATGTGGGCAGATTCCTTGTATTTCCTCTATGTGGTGTTTGGAGACTGATATCTTAAAATGTTGTCCTTGTTAGAGGAATCTTCTTCTTCAAAGGCTCGACAGCTTCATTTCTTGAACGTTTTCGCCTGCTCAACAATTCCTTTCCAGCTACTTCTGTCCTGTGTGTGAGTTGTCCAGTTATAAATTCCTAAATTCTTTATATCTTCCTTTACGTCATCTTTCCATCTGATCTTAGGTTGGCCTCTCTTTCTTATAACATGTAGCTGCCAGTCATATATTCTTTTAACTGTTCATCCAGCCTCGATCCTTGAGATGTGTCCAAGCCAACTTATTCTTTGGGCTTTAATGAAGTTAATTGCATTCCTTCCTTTTATTAGGTTATCTAGTTCATCATTTGTGTTAATTCTCCAGGAGCCATCAGAGTTTCTTGAGGGTCCGAAGATCTTTCTTAGAATTTTCCTTTCAAAGATTAAAAGTCTATGTTTAATGGCTTCTTGTTAGAAGAATATACTTGAAAATTAGTGGTATTGGCTTTTTGCTTTTACAGGATGAAGGTCAAATCAGGTAACTGCTTGATTCTGATATTTGCATCATATGATTAAAAGATATTTTTTTTTCTTATTCACTTTGTCCAAAAAATAAATTAAACCCTTAACCCTTTACCATGCCTAACAGAGGACAGCACAATAAAATGAAATGGCCGCTCCTGTGCTTAACATAGCTACCAAAGGCAATATATTAAGGTCATTTAGATGATGATATAACAGCATAAGGATACAGTATATTTACACAGTCACAGAGAGGGTTAATGAGGCTCTGGTTTTTTCAGTGAATAATGAGAACACATTTTCTCATTAGGCATTACTAATTGTTAGGGCTCTATACTGTACTGAGCAGACAGTGGCGATCTTAGAGGAGAGTTTCCCTAAATATTGTCTGTTTGCTGCTTCTAAAGTACCCCCTTTATAACATAATACTACAATACTTATTTTACTGACCACTTATATGCATCACTCAGAATTACACTTTACAGAACACAGACACACACAGACTAGTGTCGACTAGCTGTTTCCGCGCAAAGGCTCTTATTGAGGGAGATGATTCAACTTTCCGCGCACAGGCCCTCTTATCACAGCCGTCTGTGCAGAACTCGTCAACTGACAACTCAAGAAACTGGGTCCCAGGATGGCAGCCATTTCACACCAACCTCCAAGTCTTCTCTTCACAGGCTGACTTTCAACTGAACTCTCTCGTTCATAGCAACTTCATGTCACTTCACTCAACTGCTGACAACTTACTGCACCTTGGCTGGTATCCTCATTATATAACCTCGGGGTGGACCCAACAAGAAACATCCTGCCTCCAGCAATCCTATTGATGTCATGGACAGTACCTAGCAAGAGACTGGATATTATTTCCATGGGAATGTGTTCACCAAGCTGTTGCTTAGAAATGGGTGTTTGTTTATCCACCTATTGCATAGCAACGGCTGTACTCGTCCATTTCAAGGTCTCTGCCCAGCAACGGGTCTATATGCCACAATAACCTTCTGGCTGAATTTGGGACTCGAGAGCCCCTTATTGTGCAGTATGAGAACTAACAACTATATCGTGATGCTTGGTATGCTACATTTGGGACAGCGTGTCACATGCTGCGCAACTGTGACTTAGTGATTTTTAATTTATTACATGTTGCTTTCAGTGATTCAGAATATATAGGATTGAATGAGAGATTGATTAGTGGGTAATGAACTGGAAGGGATGAGAAAAGAAACAGCCATGGCCTAATTTAAGGTATTTTCCTGGAGGAATTGAAGAAAATAATGAAAATCATCAGTCAGATAGTCAATATTCCAGCTGAAATTCAAATTCGTCACTTCCCAGATAAAGACAAAAGCATCATTGTTTGATCCATCTTGAATGCTTCAGTGGTATGAATTATTCAGTGTTACAGCATGAAGTGTGTTTGCATTTTTTAGGAGATTCTGAGAGGCCTCTACCTAAAGATGAAGATGCTGAGGAATTCAAGATCATGCGAGGTAATCCAGTTCCATCAGTCGAAGAACTCTTGAACAGAAAATCCTACCAACAGAAATCTCAGCCCTCAACACAACAATCTGGTTCAGCTTACAGTGGCAGATACCAGCAGGCAGTCCTACCCAGTACAGAGACACAGCCACAGGCCGTGTACGTGCTGCCACCTAGTCAGTTCAGGACACCTGTTCTGTAAACATGCCATGTGGTCTTCAAGATGTTTTAACTGACCAAATGAGAATCATTTAGAAATGTGATGGAAATAATGGGCAAGACATTCTTACAGGAATGAAATATTTATTGTAACAGTGTCATCATTATGAAGTGAATGCTATTCTTCTCCTAAGTTTAAGGTTAAGATTGCAATGTTTATGAGTTATGGAAGTAATTTACTATCATTCACAGGGGTAGAGAGTGAGTTTTCTGATTCCATCAAAGTTATTCTCAAGTTTTAAGTTTTCAGAGTAAACTGGATACCATTTAAAAAAAAGTGTCAACCATTTTCTCCTTCTGATTACTTCTCATAGGTAATTAGTATTTTATGAATGATAGTTTTTCTTCTTTTTCTAACATTTGTTCAATTTTGAATCACGAAGTCGTCATTGCCAGTTATCTCTTTATCACATTTGAGGGATGCTGGCAGCCAATCATCCATGCTGCTTCTCATTGGTCCTTCCTTATGGCTGTCCATTTAACCATGTTTGTGGCTGGGTACCATGAATGGCTTAGAAGGGATGCCATATCCATGTTGACATTACAGAGGTACAGCCAGGCATAAATGGCTTCATTCATTAAGTGGACCATGTATCCTGCTATTCTGGGTAGTACCAAGCTATCCTTGCTGTGCTCTGTCACCCCTGACTTACATAGTTGGTATAGTCATGCATTCATTATATCTTGTCCCAGTGGCACAGCCTGTCTGTTCTTTGTAAACCTTCCCACTTGAAAATGGGATAGTGTACAACTAGAACCCTAAGACCATAGTGATCTTCCACTGGTCTAAAGAAATGAGCATATGTTTCAGTTGAAATGCATATAATTTTTATGTTGAACCATGCCAGAAGCCTGCATGGCTTCATATTGCCATATGAATTGTTGTAACTAACATGCCTGAAACAAATTCTGGTATAGCATGAGGTGAGATAAGTTTCTGTTATGGCCTCGATCTATATAGTACATATACTGACAGTTTCACAAAATAAACAAGATTAGGGTCTGGATTTAAGTGCTGGAAATCAGCAAATATGGTACATCCTCCTGATAAGGTACAAGCTTTTGTAACTTCCTGACTGGCAGCCAGCAACAGCATTCCTTTGGCTGAGTGACCATTCCATAAGAGCAATTGAAACAGCTTCCCTGCATTATAAGAAGTGCTGAAACTCAGTTGCAATTTCTGCTTTAGAGGCAGTAGGTACCGTCCTCACTAGTTCTTGCCAGATAGAATGTATACAGAAATTTGTCTTAACTGTTCAATTAAATATGGATTTCTGCAATTGTAACCAAGCTGCCTACACACTTCATTTTTGCACCATGTGGAGAATGGCGAGGGTGTGAAGTGTTTTAGAGTGACTGTACTATTGTCGCCAAAATCACTGATTCTTACTTCAGTTTTACTCCATTCCAAGGGTGACACAGTATGATAGGTGGGGATAAACTTACTGATCACCAGGGGCCGGATTTTGATGACCTGAAAATATTTAAAAAATGACCTATAAAATAACCGAAAAATCCAGAAAAATTACCTAAAATATGACCCAAAAAATGTAATATGCAGGGCCCAGATTTTGATGACCTGAAAATATTAAAAAAATGACCTATAAGATGACCGAAAAAATCCAGAAAAATGACCTAGAGGAGAAAAGAAAGAACACTTCGCTTCCATTTTATTCTAATTTCAGAAAAGATATGAAGAAAAATTCCCTAAAATGACAAGAAATACCCTTAAAAGTCCAAAAATTAACCAAAAAATTACCCCCAAAATGAAAAAATGACCTTAAGCCTAAAAATGACAAAAAATTACGTATAAAGTTTACATTTCTGTAACCACCAGCTCATATCTGAGATTTATATATTTAAGAGCATCGCATAGGATACAAGGAAAAAAAGATGACATGTCATCAAAATCCGGGCTCTGCTGATCACCATTCACCATCAGCCAGTCATAGCTGAGGCCACTACAGAGTTTCAAACTGCCTTGGGTTGCAGAAGGTTGATCCCTACAGCTACTACTATGGCTAAAGAATGCCCACATAATAACGTGCAATTCATTTACTGTTTCTGACTGTTATTTTTTAATAAAACAAAGGAAATGCAATGAGACACGTTACAGAAAATGAAACACTTGAGCAGACATTTTGTAACACAAATTCTTAAAAAATAAGTGAAGTTCTGAGTGATGATAAAACTTATTGCCAGGAATTTTGTTAAACACTGCCAGAACACCATTATAAATTGCTTTGGAAATGGAGAGATTTATCCACAATAAAAATGTACCTGCTGTCTAGTGTTCCGAAGCAGAGGTAACCAAAGGTTGGTCCATGTCAATCATTTGTTAGTCTTCTCGCCTATTTCACTTCTCTTTTGTTGTGGTCTGTTTATTAAGCATGTTAATATCGTAGTGACACAGTCTGGGTTCCATATGTGAGAGAGACGCGACCTTTTACTTTGTAATGAGTTATACTGATTTTTTTTAATTTGTGAAGAAGTGCAGCTCGCCAAGTTTTGAATGGAAATGGGAATAAAGCATTAAGGCCATATCATCGTGAAAATTTCATTCTTGTGAACAGTGCAAGTGAAAACCACAAGAAGGAAAGTAAAGATTCCCTCAGATGCAGGAAAGAAAACATTTCCTTATGAAAGGTAACTATGAAACTTTCCAGTAGAGGTGGGTTCAGGACATAAGACACTCGGAGGCACAATAATATATAAGACACCTATTACTAGAAAGGAAATAATTAAAGAAAATAATGAACCTTCAGTAAATGTTAAACATATTTTGAGATGTGTTTTGCATTTTATAAGTACGACAGCAGTTTGACAGAACTCATCATCTGTCCTTTGAATCTGCTACAGATGTTCTTTATGGAAGTGCAGAATTTTTGTGTTGCCAATATTCAAGTTTATGCTATAATAAGGGATACACAGTGCTGATTGCTGTTACTTGAATAGAATTATAACACTTGTTTGATCTGACCCATTTTACCACTATATTATTTTAAAGCAGTTGTTATTTCTGAAACACTATTTTCGTCTCAGATGATATCAGGCCTGGGCAAGATGTTGATCACTATCTAGTACATGAGAGGATGGTAATATTTTTGTTACTTATAATTTATATAAGCTTACAGTATTGAATATTGAATACTGATACTTAATATTATGTATAAGTTTGTGTAAATTCTGAAATAAAAATGACTATTTGAGCTGAAATAGCACATAACCTATGAAACCTTTGTTTTTATACATATATTCTTATTACATGCTAAAAAGGGTAAACTTTTTCCCTATACTTAACTAAGTACACACTGTGCCCTGAAGGTGTATAGGGGAGTGGATCTATAGACCCACATTTTCTTAACCTTGGCACTAGTTGGAGGTGATTGGTCAGCTTCACGCCCCGGCCGCTTTACCCCCCGGGTAAGAGCCCCTGGTACCCATTAGGAGGTTGGGTGGACCCCAGAGCTGCTCTGAACAACATGGAGAAGCGAAAATTCTTGACCCCACCAGGACTCGGACTCCAACCCCTCAGTCGTCCAGCCAGTAGCTAGTCACTATACTGACTGAGCTATCCTTGCTCACCTTATTATTACCTACAAAAAAAAACTATATTAAATAAAAATATGTAAAAAACTAGAAAACTCAACATTTCGGAAACTGAATTTGTTTCCATTCTCGGGCGAAGTGGGAGACACCCACTCTGTTGCGTCCGTAAGAACTGACTGGTTTCCAAGTCCAAGTCACACTGCGACTGACGGTCGGTCAGTCAGTCAGTCAGTAAGCCTTGGTGCCGAGCCCCAGATTGTTTTCGTGGGGCGCCCTCTCTGACGAGAGGACAGGTCTGCCTTTTGTATATGCTGCTGGCCCTTGCCAGTGCACTCTATCTCGGGTCTGAGTCCCTTGGGACACGAGGCCATATTTTACTGTCTCAGAGTTGGGACTTCCCTTTTCATTGCCTCCTACAACTTGCAGGGTCACAGTGGAGGTATTCGACCCTGCCTCCACACGGGGTGACTGGTCTCTTTTCGAAGGTGGGCTTTTATAACCTCGGCTGTTGCTACTCATTGAACCTTCTGTTGTCATTCAATGCTTCAAACAATTTGTTTCCTTTCATCTCCGAGGAAACACGTTTGTTGTCCCAGGCACTCCCAGGCAACAGCCCACAGCTCCACGCACTCACTGCAACCATGGAAACCCACTGCCAACTGCCAGGCCCCCACTTCAGCCGTTGCTTGGTGATGGACGACATATAACACATCACAATATTTTGGAAATTATTAAAGACTGAGAGATATTTGTTTCTGTCAAAAATTTATATCCTCACATTTAATTAATTCTACATATGCCTTGCATTTCAGTATTTCTCTTGTGGAATTTACTAAGTCTAAGAAAATATAAGGGCAGACTTACCCAGTGCACGTCGATGGGCGTCCTTCCCATCATTCACTTTGGGTTGCCCCTCAGGTAGGTACATAGTAAAGGTAAGCGTTGCCAAGAGCACGGAGAACCCTGTTCCACAAGCACTGCAGTTACAAGAGGTGAGCGCGTGCGCATACTCCCAGACAAGGCAGGCATAAATCTGTGTTGAGCAACGGCTCGGTAAACACATTCCCACGGAAACAAATACGCACATAATAGACTTACTGTGGAAATGGGGCATTTTCTATGTGGTCTGTTCAGAGATGTTATGAGCAAGACAGTTTGAAGCAACCAGTTCATTCAAATGACCAAGCTGCCATTGTAGCATAAGATATGTCAGTTAGGCATGATCTGCTCTGCAAAGTGTGCACTGACAGAGGACTTGTGTGTAGTGCAAAAGGAAGAATTTTCAATAATATATTATTATGTGCGAAATATACACTTGATGAAAGGCCAAGCGTATTCATAAGAGACAAACTCATGTTCTTGTCAGAGAGGATGTTACATAGAGACTATTACCGCAAGAGTTCACTTGATAAACATTTCTGGTCATGGTCATCAAGGGGCCTGATGCCAAGACAATACGATACGATTGACGGTAAACTAGCAGTCCTAAAGTAACTCTGACTCTGACCAGTTCAATCCCCTGTGGAGGTGGGATTGATACCTCCACCATAGCCCTGCGAGTCGTAGCAGGCGACGAAAAGGAAACCCAGTGCCTGGCAGTATAACCGGGTCAGCCTGTTCCTGGGGGACATAAATACAAGGACCTGGCCCTCCAGGCTGGGGGAATCTCAAATCTGAGACAGTAAAATGTACTCAGAGCTGAGAATGGCTGCGCTGGTGAGGACCAGCAGCAATTGTAAATGACACACCCATCTTCTCATCAGAGACAAAGCTACATAAGGACTATAACCACAAGTGCTCAGTTGGAAAATAAACTTACTGGTTGTGAGTCTCAAGGGGCTTGTCGCCAAGACGAACTGATTGGCGGTAAACTGCCAGTCATAAAATAACTCTGATTCTGACAATCAGTTCAATTTAGCTCCATAAGGGAGGCTGAGAAGTGATGGTGTTGTATTTGAGTTGATGGTTGACAAAGTTCTGCGCGGGCAGCTGTGAAGATGGACCTGAGCTTGACCACCAGCAACTTATTTTCTGTGTCTGACTTTGCCTTGTCCTGCACTGTGAACTGTTCATTCATATAAATCCATATGACTCCTGCCTGTTTCCTGCACAATTTTGTTATACACACCATATACATATGGAAGGTTAAAAGTTTTGCGCAAATCATGGACTGGTGTGCACCTCAGAATATTCTCAATGGTGCACAAAACCTTGTCAAGTCAAAGTCACATTCCGACTGACAGTCAGTCAGTAAGTCTTGGTGTCAAGCCCCATCAGGGACTCATGACCAGATATTTATTACTGTTTGATAGTTACGGTCTTGCTTTTGTGGGGGCACCCTGTCTTGACGAGAGGATGGGGCTGTCTTTTGTATATGCTGCTGGCCCTTGCAGGGCAGTCTATCTCAGGTCTGAGTCCCTAGAGATTCACGACCGTATTTTACTGTCTCACATTCAAGAATTCCCTTTTCGTTGCCTCCTACGACTTGCAGCTGGTCCTCATTATATAGCATTGGCACGTACCGCATAGAGAACGCCGCTTCCAAATGGTTCTTCTATTGTTGTGTGCTTCTCTGTTGCGGCCATTACCTAGCAACTGCCATTGTTTACAGAGCCATTAATTACCATCAGCTGCTATACAGTTACTTAATTTTGTGGTAATGGTTCAACACGCAACAATAGAGGAAGCTGTGTTTTCTGTAGATCTGACCAAAGTGCCAATAGATTGCCTCGATAGCGGTCACATAATGTGTTTACTGTAGGTCAATGTCCATTCCATGGCTATATAAGTAAGGGTGATAGAATTTGTTCAAGGCAGTTACGAGTTAAGAGTGAGTAGTAGTGGCAGAACCACATGAATGAACAAGCAAGCAAGCAGTGAGCTCGAAGAGTACAGAAAAGTACAGAAAGTCAGCCTGTGAACATTTACTTGTGATTTGAATACTTTATGTGTGCTACAGTGCAGTGGTACATGGAATGTGTGATTTAGGGAGACCTTTATAGAGTCTGCACTATAGATCCGTGTAGACTAGTGGAAATAGACTGAGAAGATTAGTGTGGAGTGATTGTAAATTGAACGAATCAGCAACAGTGTAATAATTGATTGAAGTTAATAAATCCAATTACCAATCCAAACGTCTTTGGTCACTCATACATATGTTTGTACACACACGCATGTCAACACACACACTTTTTCATATTCAGGGGGGCTGAAAATGTGAAACGTAGTGTAACGATCATTTCACGGCAGTTGCAATGGGTTCACATGAATGCCAATGGAGAAGCTATCTGATGGCTTGCATGTACGCCAACCACAGAATACAACATCAGATGGTGCAGCATATCATAATTAGAATTACGTAAGCGCAACACGTTCTTACCAATGTAGCATGAATGAAGCAATCTGGCATTGAACTGTCTGGTAATATATGGATTGTAATAAATAAAATAATTTATATTAAAAAGTGTAATGAATCACTGTTAAAAATACTTTGAACCCAAGGTCTTTCAGGTATGAAGCAGCAGTGCTAATCATCATACCATGGTACTGACAACGTGGAACATACAAGAACTTAGCAAAAGAACTGGAAGTGCAGAAGGACTTATTATGTTAATATATTTGTCATAATCCTACATAATTCTAAATGAATTGACAACATAAGAAACTACAAAATATGTCTGCTTCTTCAGTCATGTTGATGGGTAGTGTAAATGATACTAATTTATCGACTTACACTTCTATTTTGAAAGACTTTACGATTCTTGTCCTACTGCCAGGAGAGTCAGTTCTTGTATCTGAAATAAGGAAGGTAATGAATATTTGTGCAAAAGCTTCGTTATGTAGTAATCATGCTTACCAACAGTGCACCACTATGTTACAACTTGATCATAAAATATAAACTTTTTGGTCCGCCAAGTGCCATGAGAAACTTTTATTCCAACCTATATTTAAAAATAATCATTGTACCTAATTTCAGTATTGGGAACTATTTCTCTTTCCATTTCCTAGTCTTTACTTTGTTTTAGTTCAAAGTTTCCAATTTCACGCTTAACACAAACTTGTGTTCATGAGGAAATCTTATCGCAAAAAAAAAAAAAAACATAAAGCCGATACATTCATTACCCTTTGGCCATGTGGAAATCTATTCATTAATTCACTCATGGATTTCTAATGTAGTTATTTACTTATATTTACAGTGGAAACTTCACAATATACTCGCATTCCTCGATTTTAGAATTTCTCCCCTGGAAAATTAAATTTCAGTGATCCAGAACAAATAGTATTAGGGTTAAATTTCGTCCACTTTAGATCTTCCTCAGTTTAGTATTCAGATCCACTGCTTCCCAAATTAACCTTGAATAAGCAGTTCCCTACTTGAAGTTTTATTTTCATATTGTCACATGTTACTGACTAGACACAAGGTTTGGACTGTTTGATTTATTGAACGGCTATAACTCGTAAACACAAATAATTGTAACATGTTCACTAATCGAAGCATTCTACAGTCCACTACTGCAAATACCAACTTTCACTAATCGTTGTCTGATAACAGTGCCTAACAATGCAACTCAAAATCCTTAACTGCTGACTCCACCCTCCTGTTTCTGGCCGTCGTCTTCGACTCACAACTCACTTCCAAGCCATGGCTCATGATCTGCAACTGTCGACTGACTGCATGACTGCTAAATTGTTGCTGACCCTTGCCAGCACAGTGAAACTTTGTTCCGAGTCCCACGGATATCATGCCCATATTTTACTGTCTGATAGTTCTGGGTGCCTTCAGATAGCCATTCTAACCTGGTGCCTATCTGTCACCTTGGCTGGTGCACTCGTCATCATGCCGCTCACATGTTCGTGCAACACCGACCCGCAGAAAGTCTTTGTGTGCTACTAGTAGGGTTATGCTGTACCATTTCAAGAGTGTTTCCTTGTTCCTCTGCATGTTGTTGATGTGCTCATTCAGGTGAAACATGAGCACCAGAAAGCATACCACGTTCACACAATGTGTCATGTGTAGAGCGATATATGTGAGGAAATGATGGGTTCCAGTTTGGATGATTGGATTTATTAACATTTTGGTTACACACACTCTCTTAATCATACTTAAATACATGCAATACAGCACTATTGCTGATTTATGCACTTTCCAATTCACTGTTGCAAACGCACTAGGATTCTGTCTTCCACTCATCTCCTAGCAACGGATCTCCACACAGAAACTGTCACTTCAGAGCACTACAAATATTACACATGAAATCTTCCAATCACACTTTACATCCTCACAGCCAGAACTCATGTAGTTCTGGTTCCACTTCGCTTGCTTCCACCACCAGTTCTGTTTACTGAGCTGGCATTAGATGCGGGTTGCATAACCTCGTTCCACTATTGTGTAACTTAGCAACTGACTGTTTTCAAGAGTCTGTCTTTGTGGTAACTCCTTGCAAAACAACAGGTTATGTCACAATACTCTATGATCCAGAACTCTGCGCAAAGGAAACTCAACAGCAGCAGGGGCATTGCAATCGCAGAAGCTGTAAATGTACAGTATATCAGCATATTCGGCATTTGTGGAGATGTGTGGCATTTTTCACAACAATCCTACAGTGGCACTATCAACAGTCACAAAGGCCAATTGACGCTTCAATGCGGGAGCATGTTTTATTGGCGTGAAAACGTGTTTACCAGCCGTTGCCTAGCATTAGACATCTTTCCAGGACCCGCTATTTCTGCGTTCAGCCATTATATTAAAATATATTTACTTATTTACTCAATTATCCATCATTCTATTCTGCAACCTAGTCGCGTGCAGAGAGGCTCACATTACCTGGATATGCGGGGGTGTTCCAAGGACATAGATAACAGCATCCGAAACATCTTTAGGATCTAAACAGGCCACTTTATCATATATGTCAGGGCCTATGGTCCTCGTAATACCAGAAGACAGCATCTCTGTCCTGACAATTCCTGGACTGATATTCTGTAAATTTCAATACAAATTTAAAAACAAGTGTATATGGATTAAGATACAGATGGACAAATTTCACACAGATGTATGTATGAGTGCTGTGTAAATTATGTATATTCTTTAGAACATATGATTATCTTGTTTGCTTAGCTTATTTAATGATAATCTGCAGTATGTGGCATCATATAATATGTGACAGAAATCTTCGTTAAGTTCCCTTACAAATTTCCACCCTCTTTTACAAATAGCAAAATACTTTTTCCTCACACAAAAAACAGAGTGGGGTTGTTTCGCAGTATATCTGCTTAATTTGTAGGGCATCAAGTGGCGAAAATATTTTTTACTTTGCTAGTGGGGGGTGGAGTCCAGCTGGGTCCACTCGGCATGGCGGCCACTGATTGGCCTATTGTACTTGCGCCGGGTGATTATGATGATGGAGAACTTGGTGGAATGAAGATGGGCAGGGAAAACAGAAGTACTAGGAGAAAACCCGCCCCAGCGCCACTTTGTCCACCACAAATCCCACTTGCCCAGACCCGGGATCGAACCCAGGCCGCCACGGTGGGAAGCCAGCGACTAACCACTCGAGCTATGGCGTGGCCTCACCGGTGAAAATAAACTTACAACAGTAATTAGCCAACAATAAATTGCAGAGCAAAAATGAAACTATTTGAGTTTCCGTCAAAATTAATACCACGAAAGGAAAGCAGTATATTTTATTGTGTGTAATAAATGCAAATATTTATATTCTGACTATACTCTACAAACGTAAAATATGAATAATAAAAGTAACTGAATATAAACAGTTCAGTGGCAAAGAAGCAAATACTTGGAAAGACCACAATGTAAAAGTAAAAAAATGTAAAGGTATCCCTTTAAGAAGCCGTGGAGGCCCATAGGGTTGTGAGAGGTTGAGGTTCTCACATTTTCTAGACAATCAGTTCATAGATGGTGGCAAGGCTGTCAGTCCTACACGTTGGCCGCCCAAGAATATTCCAGGTACGCATTTCTGTTAGAGGCTGAGTCAACCCCAGGGCCATGGTGCAGCTGGAAGGATTCGGTCAATTGAAAAAAAAAATCCAATGACCTCATCGGGACTTGAACCTGCGACCTTCCGGCTTGTAGCATAGTGTCTCAACCAACTACGCTACCGCGTGCCTCCAAGACTACAATGAACAAAGTATTATTATTATTATTATTATTATTATTGGAGTGGGTGGGTTTCCCCATGCACCACAACCAGTGGTCTATTGTACGTCCCCCTGAGATATTCCACCAGTCTCCATACCCTACCAGTACTGGTGCGTACCATCAGTCCCAACTCAGAAAGCGAGTTTGGCTTCTACTGGCTCAGCGGTATCTAGATGCTTCCCCCATCTACCAGAGGCGTTAGAGACTACTGTGGGGCAGGAAATGTCCTTATAATTTGGCTCAGAGGCCTCCTTGAGACATGAGGTTCTTTTACGTGCCGTAAAGCTACGACACGGGACCCATGGCTTAAAGTCCCTCCCGGAGGACTTGTTCCCTAAATTTTTCCGCCCTTAAAAATTCCACGACCTCCGCCCGGTTTGAACCCGCGTACCTTGAGTCATGAGGTGGGAACGTTACCTCTAGACTACGGAGGCCGCTTTATGAACAAAGTATATATATATATAATTTTGTAGACAGTTTCTACATTCTACTAATGTGTGGAGAGTTCTTATACAAGTCTCTATCCTGCGAATTATTTGATTTTAGTAATGAAGAGCGCAGAGCTGTTACTATGTAACGACCGCGAGATAAGCAAATATACCAGAGCCATTTGTAGGTAACGTCTCAATAAACACATCCCCACAGCAACAGACACAAATGCAACAATGGTACAGCAATAGAGGATCAGTGTTTTTCTGTGGTCCTCGCTATGGTCGTTTACACAATAGGCGTGGTAAATACATCTCTGTGGCAATGAATCCAGACACAACAATAGAATATCTGCATTTTATAAGTGGTCCATACCGAGCTGCTATAACCGGGAAGTTCAGAGCTTAGTCAGTTATCCCGTGTGGTGGCAGAGTCAAATACATCCAATACATCCAACATGACCCCGCAAGTCTTAGGAGTCGAAGAAAAAGGGGAGTCTCAAATCTGAGACAGTAAAATATGGTTGCGAGTTCTAAAGGACTCGGACCTGAGAAAGACTGCGCTGGTAAGGACCAGCAGCATATACAAAAGACAGACCAATCCTCTCTTCAGAGAGGGTGCCACAATAAGAAACAAGACCGTAACTGTCAAACAGTAACAAATATCTGGTCATGAGCCCCAGATCGGGCTTGACACCAAGACTTACTGACTGACTTTTTAGTCAGGGGATAGCCGGTGAAAAGAAGATTTTATGTGTGATATTTGGAGTACACAATTCAGTGAGTCTATTACAGTTCCTGTGTCAGAATCCGTTGCCAGGAAATGACTAATAGAAATTGTAATAGACTGAGGACACAAGCCTGTGTGTCTGTGATTTGTAAAGTGCAGTCACGAGTCGTGAGTGTAGGACATCTACAAAAGGAGGAAATCTAAGTTGCTCAGCCTCAGGAATAGGCAACCTCCACCTAGCAAAGACAAAACTGTCTTGATATACTAGGGGGAAACTCAGAAAAACAAAAGCAAGCCAAAGAGAAACTGGAGCACCCAGCAAATGGGGACCTGAGATGTCTAAGCATGTACAAACACCGACTAGGCTGATAAGACGGCAAGGCCTGGGGTTAGTACTCCTACAGAAAGTCAGACCTCCAAGAAAGCACAGGAACTCTAGGGGACCAGGGTCCTAAAACGCGGCTCTGGCCAACATCAACATAACTATCTTCATGGAAAACTATTATGAAGACAAGGTGACAAAGGATGAACAAGATCTTATCTTCAAAGAACTGGGAAGGGTGGTCCATGGGAATCTGAATGAGGATTAACACCCAAGATCCTTCAGGCTGGAATGAGGAGTGCTCGCTCGCGCGACCAACAGCCTGGTCAATGGCTCATGTGGGACAGTGACAATCAGAGACTGGGGTCAGGGGCCAGACTGAAGTCTACAGGTGCCAGAAACCTCGCAACCTCCATCAAAGTGGCTCTTGAGATGAAGGATAAGTTTGCAAAGGGTCTTGATGAGCTAATGAAGTGGATAAAGGACCCCAACCCAGGGCTCAATACGGAGCACTGGAGAGTGCTGGATAGGGAACCTCAGCTGAGAGTCCCTTAAAACCATCAAGATATTCACTGGACTCACTCAGGGATCCTATAAGGTCCTGAATGATCCCGATGCAAGGCACACGTAAGAGGATGCCACAATGAGCCAAGCATCCTCAGGATCTGTCGTCCAGGAGGGGTGGACTTTGTTGCATTCTGTTCTGGGGACGCAACACCGCTGAGAAAGACATATACACGTGGAAAGGGTTGAGGTTTGCTCTTTCTAAGGGTCCCAACAGTATGAAACGTTGTATTCTGTAAGTTTTTTGAATATCAGATGATGGATAAAGTCCAAAAATTCAGTAATTCTGAACCCTAGGTGGAATTAAGCGATATCTAGTTCTAAAAAAAAAGTGAATATATTTATATAACACATGGAAAACCCCATTTGTAACCTTATGTAAATCATGCTTCATTATGAAACAATATGGCTTCCAATTGAAATTGTGCTACGATTTTTAGTCAAAGTCTTCCACACAGAATTTTAATAAAATATGTTGAATAGTTCAGGCCATAATGGTGGGTCACAGACAGGCAAATATGGCCTTCAACAGGCCCTTATATTTCCTTTATGAAAGACATCTAAAAATAGAATGTGGCGAATTGAGCAGAGCAAAGCAAAGCGAAGCTGATCTAACGTAACTTAAAATAACTTGGCCCACACAACATAAAAAAAAAGTACAAGGAAGAGGGACAAATGCTTTTTGTCACCCTTACAGAAATGTATTATTTTGAAATAATAAGTGTTCGCAAAGAGCAGTGAATTAGTAGCCAAAGCTGTGGTGCCACATCTACTCACAGAAACCTTAATTTGTGCTTCCAGTTGTACTAATTCTCTTCTGAGGCTTTCTGCCAAAGTGGTAACTGTGTGTTTCGTAGCTGCATACATGTTGAATCCAGGATTATTTGATATAGTGCGTCCCAGAAAGCTAGAAAGAAAGATCATCACAATTATAACCTTCAAAGCTAAGGCCATCCTCATTACAGCACCAGATATTGTGTTATTTAGTTAGGAAGTCTTCGGCGTGAACCTCAACCAGCAGGCTAGCAGTCCATCACTTTCTTGTTGGGTCGTTAGCGTCATCAACATGGTGATCATTACAGCAACTGTCAACTCCAGCAGTTATATCTCCACGGTCATCATGACTGGCAGGGGCTCGGGGAGAGGCTCGCCCCATACCTTTATTCAAATTCTGGGGATAACCCGAACCCATTGTTAAATAAGAAATTCAATAAAATTCAAAATAAAATATAAATAAAACGTTTTTCTTATACCTATCATTTCCAAACTCAAATTACCGCTTTTTAAGAGCACCCTACTCGCATCTGCTCCGCTTGCCACCTCATTTCATGCTGATTTCTTGCGCAGCTTATTCTTCGATCCTGAAGGTGGAAGCAATATGTTCCTTCGAAACGCCAGCTGACTTTCAACGGACTCCACAGCGTTATATCCCAGAATATAGTACTCTATATAATTCTATTCCACCCGCAATTACTAGTTATAAGAATTTTAATCACAACAGCTGTCAGATTTTCTGTGATGGATGATACTGCCGAAAGAAACAATTAAAAAGAATACTCTCCGGTGAGAAAGAGGTAAGTTAACAGTTCATAATATATCTGACTTAATGAAATAAAAATAACATGCAGCCGTTTAGAAAACTGGGAAGCAATACCTGCTGTCAACATTTGTCACCGGTAAACATCGTCTAACAAGTGACACCAAACTTGATCCCAGAACTTTTGAAGAAACCTCAGATCATTGGCTCACTGTAAGGAAACCTCTTGGGGGGGGGGGGAAACTGAAGTTTCAGTAGTTCATATAGCATATTTCAAAATGCAATTGTTACTTATTTTTCAAGTTTAAATATCTTTATTTTGTAAGACTGTTTTTGAATAAATGTCTATTGTATTAGGGGGCATGCGGTAGCGTTGTTGGTAGAGGCTCTATGCTACAAGCCGAAAGGTCACGGGTTCGATTCCCGATGAGGTCACTGGATTTTTCAATTACTCAATCCTTCCTGCCGCACTATGACCCTGGGGTCAACTCAGCCTCTAACAGAAATGAGCAACGGGAATTTTTCGCAGTTAAAAGGGCGGCCGGCATGTAAGGCTGACAACCTTACCACCATCTGAGCAGACTGTCTACATCAAAGCTATGTAGAACACTGAGGAACGCTGAGAATAGCAAAGTGTTAGAAACATATATGGAAACTCTGTCAAATCCTATATGGACTATAGTTTTTCAATTTGTTTAATTAACCAAATGGCATGCATTTCGACTGGCAATACTCGTATAAAATTAAATAAAATATTCAAAATAAACACTTCAAATTGTTATAAAATTTCTGTAAAGAGATTTACTAAATGTATTGTTCAATAGGAGTATGTAGACTATTTCAATTTTGATGCAATGACATTTCATTGTTGCTAAAGTAGACTGGAATGATCAGATATAGCACAGGCATCAAAATATGACAGTGGGGCATTAAATGCATAAAATATTACAGCGATCACATCATCCGGTAAACACGTACGTCTACACTGAACATCAAAATATATGCTTATTGTCACAATTACATTCCAGTGTCTTACTGAATGTCTTATGAGCAGAATGACAACTCTAAATTAAATTCATGACTGATTCACAACTTACTTAACGAAGCTGATTCAACCTCACAGATCATCTAATTAATCAAGTTTAGTTTTCGTAACACTCATAAAGAGAAAATGAAGATCATGTACCTGCTTATGTACACTATATGGCCTTCGTTGACGCCACGTTCTCTCATCGATCTTACAGCTTCCCTGGTGCAGAGAGTCAATCCCACAATGTTTACATTCAACATTTGCAACCATTCTTCTGTTCTGAAGTCTGCAAAAACCACGGATATTGATTAGCAGCCTACTGGCCCGGAAGGCAGCAAAGTTACATAAATTATTATTATTATTATTATTATTATTAGTAGTAGTAGTAGTAGTAGTAGTAGTAGTAGTAGTAGTAGTAGCAGCAGCAGTAATTCAATTCTTTATTTATGTGTGCAGAGTTCAACAGCCAATGGCCAATTACAGGGTCGGCATGAATACAAACAACAACAATATAACATAGATCAAAGAAACATAATAATAATAATAATAATAATAATAATAATAATCTGTTATATTTTAGCATCCTGTTACACTGATTCCTGTCCATGGTTTATGCTAACCATCTTACAGTGTATACACTTTTTCACCTTATTCTTCACTTCCACACTACATGTTTGAGCACTAATGTGCCATCCTCAGGTGTCTTTATGCACGTTAAACTATTGTACTGCATGCCATGATGTCTTCATTCTAAAATGACTAAAATCTGTATTCGTCATATATGTCGATGAATTCTAAATAATAAAACTTTTCAGGATTCATCCTATGTCGCACTCAAACATGCGAATTACACCAATCCTCTTTTATGTGAGCATTCTTCCTACATAAATTTGTGTATCGTGTTCTGTGTTGTTTTGCTCCTGTTACTGCATGCGTTGTACTGCTGGATATCCTTAACAGTTGGATTTGATGTGGCTTAGCTCGGGGAAGTACATGAAGCTTCTTACATCATGTTAACTTTGGCGATCAGAAGGTGCACAATTATGCTGGCAAGTTAAACCATATACAACATGGGCTGAATAACTCTGATGAAAATATTTTAACAGTTATATTTCAAATGCACAAATCCACTGTTTTAACTTCGATGGAAGCATTACGTAATTACTGCACTTTCTATATCACGCGTGCTGAAGGTATACCGTATTTATGTTGTAGTGTGTAGACAAGTTACTGGGCAACGACCTCGAAACAAAGAACAAAACAGCATCCGCTGCTAGGTAACAGATTCTTAACAAGCAATTACACGCATGCATTACTGAGTAACACCTTCGCAAACCATTTTCACACAGAAATGATAGGAACAGAATAATTAAGGGTGCTTTATACGTGGTCCGTGCCAGGTACTACAAGGAGGACAACTGGAGTAAAAATTCAGATTGTTGTAGGGGAATATGAGAAGAGAAGACTTCATCAGTGCAGTTAGAGTAGAGTTGTGGGATATTCACTGAACAGTAGCCACGCGAGGGCAGAAGATGAAGAATCTCCACTATTGGAGGCCGTTAACATGGAACGACTAGTGAAGACACAGCAGAATGAACAGACTTAGTGTGCGATGTAGTGATTTGCAAAACATGGAAATTAGCAACAGTGTTATAGTTACTTGTAGTTACAATCTATAAGTGTTCAATAAACTCAACTACAGATCCAAATCCTGTCTATAGTCACAAATACATGTGACAATATTTAATTTAACTTGCCAAATTAAGAATTCTGTAACTTAAAATCGAAACAACTATTCACTAATGGCCTAGATGGGTATAAACGTGAATGTATCTGTATTGACGGCATTTCTATCTGTTTTTTGTGGGGAACTCAACATTCAGGAAACTTTCTTGTAATTTTCTCTGCCTCTTCCTAATGGTGTTACACTTTATATAATATTAATGTTTTGGTGTAAACGTTTCCATATCAGATACAAAGATATCTAGGAAAAGTCACACGCGGATTCCATTATCACTTCCTCTTATCACCACTGCTGACTCATGTGGTGATGCGAAAAAATGATGTGCTGATGACACAAGCGGACAAGAAGTGCTTCAACTCAGCCTGCATACAATCACAACTGCTTCTGCATGCTCCAACGGCACATGCCTTATATATCACTCAAAAACAAATGCTTCCTGTGATTGTATAAATGTGGTACATACCGTGCAATAGAATTTCATTGAAGACGCCAGCATTGTTGATGAGAATATCTACACCTCCAAGATTTTCTTTGACCCAGGCAAAGGAAGATATGATGTCATTCTCCTTTGTAATGTCACATTTTAGCGGATGTAGCTTGCCTGGTGCGGTACTCAATTCAGCAGAAAATTCCTGGTGAATATAAACACGGAAACTTATTTTCACATATGTTCATCAGATGGAAGTCAGTAAAAATTTGGTACAGCCTCTCGAAAGCAGAGCGGTACAAAATCCCTAGATGTTTTATTTTGTTTATATTGCTGAGGTCATGTACGCTGAATTGGATATATGGAGGTGATCACAAATGATGAATGTAAGGCACATTCGACGTTCTCTTTCAGTTTAAATATATCCTTCTGAAGGGATAAGGATACTGGAAAAAGTTTCAGTCAGGATAGCTTGTACACTATAAGAATTCTTCTACATGGGAGCATTACCGTTGTGTTAGTGTGTCTGGTTAATTGCATGATGTCTAGAAAGACATAACATTACACCAAAATATTTTACTTGCGATCTAGAAGAGTCAGATACTTTGTCCGTATCTCTAGGAGGGCGGGCCTGTGTAAACCGTAAAGCTCGACTTTCACTGCTGCTCACAATGCTCAGGTACCCAGGGTAGCCCTGCGTAATGTACAACTGTGAATGTAATATATTCAGAAATTTAAATTGTTCATTTTAATGCTGTTGACACGAAGTAACAGAAAGGTAAGGAAATTAACTAGTCTATTATAATAATGAGGGGACACGCGGTAGCATAGTTGGTTGAGGCACTATGCTACAAACCGGAAGGTCGAGGGTTCAATTTCCAATTAGGTATTTGGATTATTCAACTGACCTAATCCTTCCAGCCATACTGTGGCCATGGAGCCCACTCAGCCTCTAACAGAAATGAGTACCATGGATCTTCCTGGTGGTAAAGGGTGGCCCGGCTCCTAAAGCTGCAAACTTCACGGCCATCTGTGAGCCAATAATCTATAAAATGTGTGAGCCTCGACGTCTCAGAATCCTATATACAGCCTGGATACTGACAAGGATGTAAGTAAACCACAACAAGAATAATTAATATTGTTAAAAACACTGTCAATTATTTGATGGTGCATTCAGCATTTGTTGTATTGAAATACAGCCGTTTTAAACAATGTGTAAGAATTATATTTCGTTAATATGCTGTTTTGTTTGACGTTGGTAGATCTTAGGTGCATTTTGTTTCGTTAACTGTATAACTGCTTCTGCTGCGAGGCAGAAGTGTAATATAAATGCGAAACTGACAAAAACAAGAATATGCATCAATTTAAACATATTTAGGGCCATACCTCCAGTCTGCGGCTGCGTCTAGCTATACCAACCACTTGTAGACCATGTTTAACCAAACTCTGAGAGATTGCAGCCCCAATCCCGGCACTGGCACCAGTCACTATGGCTACTTTACCTGACCAGCGTTCCATCTCTGGAAGTAGAAAGGAGAGTCAGTAAATAGGTCAGAAATTGTTATGCAACTTTAAAACATGTGCTATTCAACTCGACATATCCTCCACCAACATTGATACACTTGTCCCATCGCTTTACCACTGCATCAAACCCCACAGCATAGAAGTCTTTTGAGTATTGTCTCAGCCACTTCTGCACCTCTGTTTCAACCTCTTCATCAGCAAAACTTTTTCCACCCAGTTGTAAACCGCTTTATGTGACAAGCACTTCCCACCTTAAATGGGAAACATGTCTTTATGAATATCCCTTGCATTGTGTCCTTTTGCCCCAAAACGCACAACAGAACACAGCTATTTGGTAGCAGAGTCCTGAAGCACGGTCGCCATTTTGACTACTGAAACCAGCCTCTGAAACATGCGCATCTGTTGCCTAGACTGGCATGCAACTGGACTGTGCTGCTACCTAGCGATACACATAGAAAACTGATTATGTCCATTACAGCTGTCTTACTTAAATTTGTGACATATCTACTGACTTTCCTTCGTACAAACATCCTTACAGAATACATCATATACCTACTCATGCCTCATCACTTGAATGTAGAACAAAACTGTTACTTCCTTTGAAAATGCGGCCAAATTCAAATACATGGGGATGACAGTAACAGATCAAAACTGCTGCTAAGTATCTTTTGAATTCTTATCTGCTAATTAAAAACATAAAAAATGCTCATTTCTGGCTTCAATTGTACGAAATATACTTTTGCCTCTTTGTTCTGTATGGGTGTGAATTTTGGTATCTCATATTAGGGAAAGGGTATAGACTGAGGGTGTCTGAGGACAGGATGCTGAGGACCTAAGACTGAGGAAATGACAGGAGTGCGGAGAAATCTGCACAGTGAGGAGCTTCTTAACTTCCACTTCTTGCGAAATATAATTAGGATAAATAAAGAAGGTGAGATGAGCGGGTCATGTTGTACACATGGAAGAATCAGAAAAAGTTTTCTGTAGGAAAATCTGGAGGAAAGATGACACTAGAAAGACACAGGCGTAGATGTGGCAATGTTAAAATTAATCTTAAAGTAAAACCGTAGGATATGGGCTAGATTCATCTGGCTCAGGACAGAGACCTAGAGGGGTGCTAAAAACATGGTTATGAACTCCTGAGAATTTCGTCACTAGCTAACCAACTATTAGATTTTAAAGAAAGACTCAGCTTCATACAGTCAGTAAATGTAAACTTTGGCGATATAATAATGCTAGTGGGGTGGGACTAAGTCCCTTGTACTGCGGCCACTTTGGTCTATTGTACTAGCCCCAGATGATAGGTGAGGGCGATTGTGGAGCAACTGGTGGAATGAAGATTGGCAGGGGAAACCGAAGTACTTGGAGAAAACCTGCCCCAGGGCCACTTTGTCCACCACAAATCCCACTTGACCAGACCCGGGACCGAACCCAGGCTGCCAGCAACTAACCGCTTGAGCTATGGCGCGGCCCCTTTAGCGACATAAGGGAACCGTCTTTCCACGTAACCATTTCACTAATTGGCAGAAGGGCCCACGTAATCCTATGAAGAGAATTAAGCAACAACGCTACATCAATTTGTTATTAATGTTTATACAGAGAGCTTAACATTCATGCACAATGAGGAGAAGGCACTTTTGGTCAGCATATTTCATGTTAGAAACTAATAAATTTAAATTTGCTACTGCAGGCCTGTGCTGAAAGTTGTCAGAAGAAACAAAAGTCCATTTCTGCTTTTCTTTTATAAACCCAACTTCACAAGAAGCTCAAACATCCCGCCAGCGCCAAATTAATCTTACAAACATATCGGTAGAAAATAACACACAAAAAATAATTTGATAACTTAGAACGTGCATATTGTGGCACATTTTTTCAAAACAATAACTTTGGAGCCAGAGGAACAGCCGCTGCTAGGAAACGGCTCTGAAACAACATTCGCTTCTAACCACCGCCTGCGAAACAGATCTTAATAATTCAACAGTTGGACTACAACAATGAAGAGCTGTTTTCTATGTGGCCCGTGCCGAGAGGATATGAGCGAGATAAAGTGGAGGCGGGGTCAAATATCTCCACCGTGACCTTGCGAGTCATAGGAGCCGACGAAAAGGGAAGTCTCAAATCTGAGACAGTAAAATACGGTCGAAAGTCCTAAGGGACTCGCACCCACGAAAGACTACGCTGGCAAGTCCAGCAGCATATACAAAAGACAGACCCGTTCTCTCGTCAGAGAGGGCGCCCCACAAAAATAAGACCGTAACTGCCAAACAGTAATAAATATCTGGTCATTGGCCCCATATGGGGCTCTGCATCAAGGTTTATCTGAGCTTAGTTCAGTTGAGACTGTGGCCAGCCTGCAATGGAGTGTGCACGGAAGCTGAAGAATCTCCACTGTTAGAAGCCGTTACCAGGAAACGACTATTGGGGAGTGTAAAAGGAAACTGTAACGTGTAGAGATTCGCGATTGTGCTGTAATTACCGGTAGTTACGACTTGTTGTGAGTGCATAAGTGGTCAATAAATCCAATATCCAATCCAAAACCCCGCCGAGACACTCATACCAAGTAACAATATTAAAAAACATATTGGGAAAAATAATGCATTGTAGTTTTGCAACAAATTATCCGTATCTTTAATAAATGAAAAAATCACGAGAAACAAATTTGTTGGCCCTGTACGTTTACATCTTCACTCTTACTACAATAGGCCTAAAAATTAAATACTAGCTTACCTGCCTCCTTAATACAACGGCTCCGTTCGTACTGAAGCTGAATCAGTGTACTGTAATGCAGGAAGTTGTGCTCTGAAGAGGAACTCTCGCCCTTTGGCTCTTGCAGCTGTCAGCGTTCGAAGATAGAAGAGAACAGTAAACAGCTGACGCATAAACAATCATATCTGCTCTCGGTTCATTCCACTCAGAGCACCATGATATTGCTTGCGAGTTCACAAACAAGGTCAAGACAATTATGATTCGAAAAAGGCCTAATGAAGGAGCAAGACGTTAGGCAGTGGTTGAAAGCGACATTTCAGGGAAGGTGGACTTCGACATCGTGGGCCGACTCTATTGCTTCCTCGGACGCTGCATCTAACGCTTGTGGGGGCACCTGAAGGAGCACGTTTATACAGTTCCTCCAGGGTGCTCCAGGGACTATAGAAGAGTTCTTGACAAGACTTCAAGTAGCTGTGACATCGATACCAACACATTGTCACGTTTTAGGTGTGTGATTATTTGACGGGGTATGGATTGCATATTGGATTTATTGACCACTTATACACACCATTCGGAACTACATGTAATTACAGCGCTGCTGATAATCTCCACATTTTACATATCACAACAACCGTCAAGCCTTTTCCAGCCTGCCGTTCCCCGGCAACGGCTTGTAACAGTAGAGACTCTTCAGCTTCCTGTGTTCAAACCTACCTGTCAGCTATTCCCTCAAGTGAACTGGATCGCCATCTCTTCTCGGTCATCCTTTGCAGAGCTCAAATGCACGCAGCACCCAACTAACCCTTTCAATTATCTTCGACAGCCGAGTCTCGATTGACTCTGTTCCAAGTCAAAGTCACATTGCGACTGACGGTCAGTCAGCGAGTAAGTCTTGGTGTCGAGCACCCTCCTGGGGCTCATGACTAGATATTTATTACTGTTTGACAGTTACGGTCTTGTTTTTTGTGGGCGCCCTCACTGGCGAAAGGAGGAGTTTGTCTTTTGTATATGCTGTTGGTCCTTGTCAGCGGAGTCTTCCTCGGGTCCGAGTCCCTTGGCCTGGAATTCTAATTATATAGCCTCGGGGCGGGCCCAACAGAAAACACCGTTTCCTAACAATCCCTTCATTGTTGCTTGCATATTCGTTTTCCGAGCATTCGCCTAGCAATGATAACGGCCATCCAAGCGAACTATACCGACCGACCAAGCGATGGCTGCTTGTCGGCGAAGTTAGTGGCAACTTTAGCAGATAGAGGCAGCGCAACGAATCCCCACGGCCGTTAATTTCGGTTTTCTAGACCGGAGCCGCTACTTTTCCATTCAAGTAGCTCCTCAATTATCCTCACAAGGCTGGGTGGACCCCGTTCCAGACCCACTACTTCTCAGAAATTCTGGTAGCGCCGGGAATCGAACCCGAACCTCCGGATCTGTAGGCAGGAACTCTGACCACTAGACCTCAGAGGCGGTCTCCATATATATATATATATCCTTCTTTCACCAGTATGTATCCACCTGAGAACACGATGCACTTTTCGTCCCGTTGGAGGTCGCACGTGGCAACATCCCATGGAGCATTCAGTTCCGTGCAGATAAGGAACATGTGGAAAGGGTTTTCTCTTTAGACTCATCCCTGCTATTGTAGAGAGGATATTAAATTCATTACGTGAGTCTGTCCGTCTGTATGCATAAAACAACTCGAGAATCACTGGACTGATTTTCATGTAATATGACATTGGGGAACATTACAAAAAAGTGCTGCTATTACATTTTCGTCTCGATCACACAATATTAGCCACCACTTCACATGAGGCCAACATGAGTTTCTGCGTATTAACTACCTAAATATTCATCAGAGAGAAGAATGTTTCAAGTGAAAGTTGTATACAAAATGAAGCACATAAATTTCTCCATTCGTATATTTTGCATCCCATTGTATTATGTCTCTACTGTGTAAATTTGTCCATCCATCACAACAATTCTACACATCAGTAAATAACTGATAGGCTCGAATGTCGATAAAATAAGTTTACTGAGTTGTTTATGTGCTACATGTTTCAGTTGTTTATGACAACGCATTCTACATCAGTAGAAGTAATGAAATAGCACCATAAACAAAACTCCAGTGTGCAAAGACATACCAATATAGAACAACAAATAAGAACAAGACAAACAGGTCCTCGTCTAAAGCTTAAATCACCAAAAATTAACACACAGTACAAGGCCACTGAGAGCTAAAAATTAGAAACACTCCATTTTCAACCAAAACAGTACATGTGCAACCAGTACCACCAAAAATGCACACTCATATAATATCCATGCCCCATAAAGGACAGTTTCATAAACACACACACATATATATGCACCATTCCTGTTACCCCAAAGCACCCATAAACATGTGGATCTATACATCCGCTCCTCCATACGCCTTCATGGCGTAATGCTTAATAAACATATGGCCAAATTTACCTTTTTTAAAGGCGACTGACGATAGAAAGTTACTGGAGGACATGGCGTTGCTTGGTGCATACAGCGGGTATTATTTAACAATGTTATGTCAATTACAGAGTGAGATCCAAAGATATTTATAGACAGTGAAATTGATGGGCCATAGCCTACTTTAACGTATCTCCGTGGGACCTACCTGGAAGAACAGAAAAAAGACTAGAATCCCGGCCGAGACTGGAATAGAGACCAGACGTGTCAACACTCCTGTTAACCTCCTCGGTATGACTGCCACTGCCACCATTGCTAAGAGTCATGGCACCACGGTACTATGAGCTGTGATGGAGTAGGCCAATAAGGTAAAGCTATCCCTGTAACAGGCCGTGGATGACCACAGGGATTGTGATACGTCAAGGTTCTCACATTTTTTAGACAATAGGCTCACAGATGGTTGAGACTTTTGGCTTTATGTGCAGACCGCCATTTACTCCCAAGAGGATTCCTGGTACTCATTTCCACTCATTTCTGTTAGTGAGTCGACCCCAGAGCCACAGCGCAGCTGGAAGGATTAGGTCAACTGAAAAAATTGCAGTGACCTCATCAGGAACCGCGGCCTTCCAGCTTGTAGCATAGTTCCTTGCTTTTATAAGGAAAGATGTTTATGGTATCATTATGTACGTGTGTCTGCGCCCTAATATCCGAATGAAGTGGCAGATTCTAATGAAACTTAGCATGACTGTCATGTCACTAGTAGTTACCCAGCTTTGTACTTAAGATCTAAAGGTTTGTGACGATTGTACATTAATAAAAATATTATGTTTCTGGACATTATTCATCATCCTGTCTTTATCTAAAAACCATCCTGTTTATTTTTGAAAACACAACATTTCGAAGATTGGATTCTGTCTCTGTCTTCAGGCAAAACCTAGGGATATGGACTAGCTATATCGATTGGGCCCAACTGAGTATGTTTACCTGTTCTTTAATTGGTTTATTCAATTACATTTAGGCAGAGTTTAGAAGCTCTGTTAATCAATACAAAATGAAAGACAGATGGTTGGTCTATGGATTCAAGTGATCCCCATGATTTAAATCCTTCCCAATCCATCAATGTTGCAACTGCTAATCCTGTAACAGGCTGTGAGCAGTTGAGGCTGCCACATTTTCTAAACAATCAGCTCGCAGATGGCAGTGAGGTTGTCAACCTCACACACTGGCCAGTCGTTACACCGCTGAAAGATTTCTGGTACTCATTTCCGTTAAAGGTTGAGTTGACCCCAGAGGTCATAGTGTGGCTAGAAGGATTACGTCAATTGGAAAAATCCAATGACCTCATCAGGAATCAAAGACTGTGACCTTCCAGCTTGTAGCATGGTGCCTCAAATAACTACAATACCACATGCCCCACTTAGCTTTTAAAATTTTGTCACTTTTGCTACTGATTGTTTTCAAGCACCAAACTTTTACGCAAGATAACCTAGTGCCCTTCAAACTGAACATTCCAGCGTAACTCTTACTTCATCCAGTAGGTACATGCAATATTTTAATGTGTTTACTGTCCAGAGGTAACTCAGCAGACCTGACTTTAATAATGATTTTATATGCTTCACATTGTAACCATGGGAAATTCATAGTAAGATTTTCCCTGACACTTTCTAGCAAAACCACACTTCATACAATGCATATACAAATATGAATTCAATGTCTCTAATATCGTATTAAATCACTACATATTGTAACGTGTTTTGTTACTGAAGACGCCATTCGGATTGTTAATTTGTTTATTTAACAACCTACAAATCTCGGCTACAATTAATTATAACAACGTTACGGGTTTACACAATTTACAAACCCAACACACAAATCAATTCACTCTGTCACGAATCACTCGTTACAATTCAATTCAACTCGTAACTCGCCGCTGGCTAGATTCCAACTCAACTGTCTTCATAGGCAGTGTAGCTCTCTTACGAACTATCGTATATAGTCACAGTGTTTGCCTGTTATGTAATGGGTACCGCTGTTGCCTGACGCCATGTTACATCACCGCGAGGAGAGGGGCTGGGCACCGACTGAAGAAAGGCGACATTCGTGTTAGGGTCAGACAGAACTTGACAGCGCTAGTTTGGAAGGACAAACGTGATGTTTACATACTGACAAACATGCACTGTCCTCCAGCAGAAGGCAGTTTCTGTGATGAGCATGGAAACGCCATCAAACCAGCAATTGTTGCTGACTACAACACGCACATGGGTTATGTCGACGAAGCGGACAGAATGGCAAACAGTTACAGCATCAGTCGTCGGACCTGGAAATGGACAAATAAATTATATTTCCATCTCCTGGATCTGACAATTCTGAACAGTTTCATCCTGTTGTCATCCTGTGGCGCGAAATTGTCACACAGAGAATTTTGTCTCACAGGCAACATTAACATGCTGGAACATGCTGCAAAGGGTCCACCTCACCCTCAACGGTTCATGGGTTGAGCTCCTGCTGTGTCATCAGAGATATCTCAATTAGAGGAGGCCACTTGACATCACGGGCTGACTTCCTCTAATAAGAGACTGAGGTGTCATGTGTGCTCTTTGAGTGGGAAATGGAGTTACATCCGGACAAAGAGAATGAAGTGCGACGTCGGACTCTGCATTTCTGGATGTTTCCAATAGTACCACATGAAGGCAACATTCAGTTAGATGACGCAGGAGGGAAGACTGTCCACTTATAAACCTGGTGCCCAAAAATAATGTAAGTAGAACAAGAATTTCTATCTTAAAATTAGATTTTAAAACACTGTGCGCATGCGTGGACTGCACATACCCATACGATGTTGCTAGGCTCTTAAAGGTCAAATGTATGTGCATTTCAGCCTGTAGGAATTCAAATTGACGGAGCTTCATTCAGCTCTGTGGGTCATGTGACTAATACTCACTAATACCAAAACGTGAGTTCAGGATATCACAAATGGGGCGATCTACAAAACATCTATGAATGTAAAGAAACATATATATGGATTCTAATGTATAACCATTCTTTTATTGTGAAAAGGGGTTCCCCTACATGTTTCAAACTTCAAGGGGTCATGATAAATAATGCTGCAGAATCATTTAGAAGTTGCCAGTCAGTTTCATTAACTATGCACTACTAGCTTCAACAGTTGAAGAAAACAACATAACTAGAGAGAACATCATGTCATATCTGTTTACTCCTAACAAGAGAGAGGCTTGTATGGATCAGCAATCAGTAGTAAACCAATCCGGATATGCACTGACCTGTTGTACCATGGGATGCAATTGATTTCCCTAGTCAGTTGGAAATGTTAGCACCTGCAATAACTCGTAGCACTCTACAAAAACCCAGCATGCAACAGAGAGAAAGCTGTGTCATGAAGAGCAAGCTATACTGCACCTCTACTGCTTCATGATTTAATACGGCAATCACTACGTGTCACTTAATGTGTCTCCAGATGGCTCTGATGAGTAAATAACTTATTACACACCACACAGCTCTACGCTTGCTCCCCACTATGTATGCACAGATGCTTCCTCAGACAACGCCGATCACTGAATGACTTATTACACACGTCACAGCAAAATGGGCGCTCTCCACTATGTATGCGTTGATGTACCTTCAGACTACTCAGGTGACTGAATGACTTAGTACACATGTCACAGCAAAACGAACGCTCTCCACTGTGTAAGAGTTGATGTCTCTTCAGACTACCCTGCTGCCTGAATGACTTAGTACACACGTCACAGCAAAACGGCCGCTCTCCACTATGTATGCGCAGATGCTTCCTCAGACCACTCTGAAAACAGAATGACTTAGCACACACATCACAGCAAAATGGCCGCTCTCCACTATGTATGCGTAGATGCTCCCTCAGACCACTCTGAAAACTGAATGACTTAGTACACACATCACAGCAAAATGGGCGCTCTCCACTATGTATGCGCTGATGTATCTTCAGACTACCCTGCTGACTGAATGACTTAGTGCACATGTCACAGCAATATGGCCGCTCTCCACTATGTATGGGTTGATGTGTCTCGCACTGATGAGCCCTCAGATTACACTGTTCAGTGAATGATTTATCACACTCATCACAGGAATATCGCCGCTCCCCACTGCATACAGGTTGAAGGTCATTCAGAGTACTCTGCAACACAAGAGGAAATAACATGGAAAACCCTCCCATGAAGAGAAATAATTTTGAAACTCTTGACCACAGAGATGTTAGAAGGGTAGGAGAGAAAGGGTAGACAGAGGGGAGGAAAGAGGCAGACAGAGCAGGGGTGTGCGCATACATGGGTGTCCATCAGCATGTATGGGTGACTGAGTGAATATAAGTCAAGCTGAACTATTATTATATAATAAATTACAGAATTAAATAGTATTATGGATTTGTGAGGCTCTATTTTTATTTTTATTATTATCATTATTATTATTATTTGGCTCTACAGCCCTTTGTTGGACCGTGGCCACGTTTTCAGTTTCTTGATCGCATATAGAGACCATACGACTCCTTAAACAGGGGATCAGCCCATCACAGGGTCGCTACCTACATCATCATCATCATCAGTAATCTGTCAAGACGACAGGTCCACAGTCTCTTTCAAAACAATTCCTCCACTTAATGCGATCTAGAGCTTTCTCCTTCAAATGACAGTATCCTCTTCTGTCCCCAAGGTCATCCAGCATCTTCTTACGTCTTCTTC